TTGCTGTGTCACCCAGGCCAGGTTGATCATAGGTCACAGCAGACTGAAACTCCTCAAGTGATCCTTCTGCTTCAGCCTCCCAAATAGCTAGACCCTCAGGCTGGCACCACTACACCAGGCTAAATTTTTTTTTTTTTTTGAGATGGAGTCTAATTCTGTTTTCCTGGCTAGAGTGCCCTGGTGTCACAGCTCACAGCAACCTTGAACTCTTAGGCTGAAGTGATCCTCTTGTGTCAGTCTCCTGGGTAGTTGGGACTACAGGTACCTTCCACAACACCTGGACAGTTTTTCTATTTGTAGAGACAGGGTCTTACTTTGCTCAGGCTGGTCTCCAGCTCCTGAGCTCAGGCAGTCCATCCAAGTTGGCCTTCCAGAGTGCTAGGATTACAGGTGTGAGACACCACACCTGGCAGAAAGCTTCCATAGCTTTCTCTTAGTTATACTTACATTGTACTCTTTTACGTCCTAAAATTTATTTAAAAATATTTTATAGTTGATAATTCACTAATCTCTATCATTTGAGGGATAGTCTCCTTTCTCTTGTTTTAGCTATTTCTCATTTATTCTCATGGATAGTCCTTTTTAATGTGTTTTTTGATTTAGAATTATGAGCTTAGAATCACATCATGTTACCTCCAAGAATATACTTAGCGTATTATACTCAGAAAATTTGAAGAAAGGATTTGTTTTACTTTTTCCAGGTTCATCATCCATCAGGGAACACTTTAAATTCTCAGCTTTCTCCCCTAAAGCAGCCTGTGTTTAATTCTACCTGGAGCCAAGCCTGATACAGATCCATTTTAGCCCCACCTCCTTTGTGCTGAACTTTTTTCCTCCCCCTTTTGCTTGTTAGCCTCCCTACTGGAGGTATCATGTTTTAGAAGCCTGTCATTTTTTTTTTCAGGGCCGTGTGACCACTGAATTTTCTCTTCTTCATAAATGGGCCACAAAACCCCAAACTCTGTATAACCGTGGATTGTTAGGGACCCCCAAGGCAATCTCTTGCTTTAGTGCCCACTTTCCTCCCTGGATGTGTGATTTGCCATTACTTTTGGCTTTGGAAAATTTCTCTTACATTTTTGTAAGCTATACTATGCCTTTAAAATATTAAAATAATTTTTCTCCATTACTTGTAAGATTGTTGTTTTGAGAATTTTCTTAAGAGTGTTTGGTTCACATATTGCTGACAATGGATATCCTTAGCTATTTCTAGAATTTATGATGAAGCTCTTGCAATAGAAGATAGTTTTGCAAACAGAGCTACCGTTCTCTTCTAATAACCAGATAATTAGGCTGGGCCTAGTTGTTGTGTTGTGGTCGGAATTATGGACAATATACTTTCCAGAGAAATTCCCTCTACTGTAAGTAGAGAGCATTGATAGAAAATGCAAAACCATATTAAATGCAGACATCTACTTTTGAAAGAAAGATACAAGCCTCCAGGGATCAGAAATGCAGTAGAAAATCAGATCTCTGGCTAAGAAGCTGATATTTTGATGAGTTCGTAGAACCAAGACTAAAGTACATAGTGGTGAATGTGATTTCTACTTCTTTAAGAAAGCTGAAATTTGGCCCACTGTCAATGATCAGAGATGGAAGAGGCACTGACCACTATTTTATGGTTGCACCTGTGGTTGATCAAAGACAAGACAAATGGAAATTGCTATATGACTGCTTTGGGATCAGACCTGTGACTTTCTAGACAGACAATTTATGAGAGTTCCAAAAGCCCTGATTCTGAGTTCTAAGGAGGACTAGTAAGTGGAAACTAAAAATTGTAAGTGTGGATGCAGAAGATGAATTCTAACTCAGAGTGTGCCCACCAGTGAAAATTACTAAGCACAGGAGGCAACCCAATGTGATTAAAAACAAATAATAGGGCTGGGTGCCTGTAGCTCAGGGGCTAGGCAGCCACTTACACTGAAGGTGGCGGGTTCAAGCCCAGGCGTTGTGGTGGACACCTGTAGTCCCAGCTACTTGGGAGCCTGAGGCAAGAGAGAATCGCTTAAGCCCCAAGAGTTTGAGGTTGCTGTGAGCTGTGATGCCATAGCACTCTACCCAGGGTGACATAGTGAGACTCTGTCTCAAAACAACAACAACAACAAAAAATAATAAGAGATTTTACCTGAGAACATTGAATTAATTGAGCTATTAATTAAACAATTTCAAAACATAAATGATGGAATACCATCCATGAAAGAACCTAGGAGTTTATGATCCCAAGCGGGGAAGTTTTGAAGCAAGAATGAAGTAAAATCTTGAAAAAAAGGCTCAGCGCCTATAGCTCAAC